TATATGTAATTATAAAAACTGACAAAAACTGACAAAACACTAAATGTTAAACTGCAAGTTTGCATGAATCTTTACATGGACCCAACAAACCTCCATGCCAAATTTGGTAAAGACCGATCCACAGGAAGTGAAGTAGTGGTACAAAAGTCTAAAATGCCCATGAAAACTACAAAACACAAAATTGAAAATTTGTATGTACCACCACGTAGACCTATTGAATCTCCATACCAATTTAGGTGAAGATCCATCCATACCCTGCGAAGTAGTTACATGGACAGACAACAGACAGTACTATTATATTCATATAAATTTGATATACTGATTGAAATGGTTGTTATTGAGCTGTGAAGCTGGTCATAGAAAGCTATGGAGGATATTAGGTAATTAGTTTTTAGGAACTTTATCCTTATTATCATGTTTTACATTCAAACTAATTTCTTTGTGACTGGAGTATAGTAAAGGATTGTGTTTGGTTCATCTCATTTTCTAGGATGAACCACCACCTAAGAGAAGAAGAACAGCTGAAGATTTTTTCTCATTTTGTCAGTTTATTTTAGAATATGAAAACTATGAGGCCATAAAGCAAGAGGTAAAAGTTGATTCATTTTATTTACTGTTTGTTCTTGTTTATTTTTCATTTAACGTCTGTTATAATTAAATATATGAAATATTTTCAATCATATTAAGATATCTATTGTCAAATTTACTGCATTTATTTACATTAAGGGTAAACAAAAATGTTAGGATGGGGTAGATCCTTTGAGGGATGATGAAGGAAGGTTTGTATATGATGATTATTAACTTCTGCTTTTTCTTCCATTTTTACTAGTGAAGATTTAGGTTGTATTCCTCATCTTGAACAGTTGATAGATTGAGGCAATATGGCTTTATATGTCAAGTTTACTGCTTTTATAAAAACAGACAAAACGTATGCTATTTTGTCTTTTATTTTTCTGTAACTTTAACTGTTATTATTTTATGTATAACTACATATAAAGAAAGTTTAATAGGCCTAATACTTATTTCTTTTGGCAAATGTAACAGTAATCATTCTTCACTGTCCTGTAAAAAGATTAATAAAATTTCACAATATATAACTTAACTGTTAATAACAATAGTTTGTCATTAGATTCTAAATGAATGCAAAAAAGTAATTAACTGGTGATTCTTGCAATGGAAGTTTGAAAATAACCATTTGAAAATGTCATAATAATGGAAGATGTCATAATTAGTACAAAATATGCAGTAGTTGAATAAGCTTTGAAAATACCTTAATTTAAAGAAATTAAAGAGGAAGTATAGAATAATTTGCTGTGTTCAGTAAATGAAGACACATATACAGATAAGCTGATTTGTATGTAATCCCTTGCAAAGTATCAAAAGTGGTTTGTATCTAATCTTTTGTATGATTTCAAATGCATTTTTTATTTAATTTGCTATACCAACTATGGTTCTAAAATGAACAGGTTTTTCTGTCTGCTTAAAAATACAATTTCTTTTCAGTTAATGCCTAAATTGTAAAAAAAAAGAAAATATATTTGACTAAGGTTTTGTTTATTTGCACCACTTTATCTTATCTGAACACTTGAACATTTAGGACCCATCTTTTTTATCCTTCCAACATTAATAATTGTTATGTTATGAAGTAAAATATTAAATAAATCAAGACTTGTGCAACTTCATCATGTAAAACATTTTGGAAAGTAAGAATTCTAGAAAAGAAAGAAAGTACTAACTAATAAACTTCCATTAAGATATAAAAACTAACTGTGACCTCAACTGTTCATTACTATTGCCATCTTTAATTCAATACTAAAGCTGATGTGTGCAATGAAATGTCACCAGTTTTTCTCTGCACTGATGTTATTCTTATGGAACTTTAAATAACATATTTTAAGGATACTTAGTCTTTTGTATAATTTTTGACATATTGTCTGTTAAGAATCATGTGAAGTTAGTTCTTAATTGTTCATTATTTTGAGTAAACACAATATTTTTGTATAAGTTTTGTTAGAAAAATGCTTTAACATAACATCGTGATTAATATGCTAAGAATTGAACACTTTATGAACTGCAAAACTGAATTTTCTTTATAAAACATTGTAATACACGAACAGCATGAAAACTTTAATTTTTTTAATGTTGCACTTAACCTTGAAATAATAAACACTAAAGTTAGAATTTGTTGAAAGAATATAATGATACTGTGACTGTATGAAAATTATGTGTTTTGTTGCAGATTCTTGTCTTCTATAACCGTTTTTTTCATCAACAGGAACTCTATCAGAAAACTGCCAGCCCTTCAGAAAGTTCGGATAGTACACCGGACAGTTTCTCTTCAGATAGTAACTGCAGTAGCAGTTCTCTAGAAAACATAAAATCTACAGATGTTGAGTCAGGTACAGCATTGAACTCATTAAACTTTAAAGTTGTTTGGCCTTTGCTTACTTGAATCAGAATTATTAGCAATTTTTTATTACATATTGATAGATTATCATTTAAACATCATTTTAGTAAAATAACTATAAGATCAGATAAAAATGTCTTTAAAAGACTTAATGTTTCAAGAGTTTAAAGGGTTCCCAACACCAGAGACATACCAGTGCAAAATTGTATGCTTTAAATAAGAGGTTACATGACGCTTTACACCAAAGATGATCTGAAGATTTAACATATTAGGAAATTTTAAGTAGGGAATTGTAAATATTGTGTTAATTATTCCACTATAAAGGTGTAAGGTATTTTTAACAGTAGCCCATGTTTTGAGGTATATATATACTTTTCGAAGGAACCAATCAATATCTTAGAAGTCCTTATAAGCAGGATATACAAATGTTGAATAAACAGAATGCTATAACCTTAGTGCTCTTTTTATGTTCATCTTGTCAGTACTTTAAAGTTCTAGATTATTTACTTTTTCACAGTTAATACAAGGAGTATGATGAAAAAATTCTTTAGAATGGCAACACATGTTTTTTAATTTAACTTAGAAACAAAATGACTCATTTTAGTAACCAAAGTGACTAAGGTTACCTTACCTTTTATGATAAGACCTCTTAGCCAGTAGTGAAAAAACCACAGTAAATGGAACTGTCAGAAGTCTGATATCAGATAAACTAGTTCCGACACATTCATGCATTCTCTTCAGTCTCACATTGTTTTCCGATATCACTTCTGACAGTTTGTTCCATTTACTGTAGTTTTTCACTAAATGCTGTACACTACGTTGTGTTCTTTTATTATTATATCTTAGCTACATTTGCCATAAACTTGCTTTCAAAATAACTCATAAAGACTGTTTTTAAAAGTAGTTTCAAGAATTAGAAGCTAAAAAGACCATGTTTGAGAATGAATATACCCCATTTGTAAATTTTGTATATTCATTCTTAAACATGGTCTATTTAGCTTCTAATTCTTGTAAAGAACAGTGAGTAAAAGTTTTTGGCATGGCCTGGAGTTTAGGCCACTTGACCTGAGGTTCATGGGTTTTAATCCCATCACCAAACATACTTGTCCTTTCAGCCACAGGAGCATTATAAGTGATGGTCAATCCCACTTTTTGTGGGTAAAAAGAGTATCCCAAGATTTGATGGTGGGTGGTGTTGATTAGCTGCCTTCCCTTCAATCTATCAGTTTTAAATTAAGGTTGGCTAACAAAGATAGCCATCAAGTAGCTTTGCACAAAATTCTAAAGAAAGCAAAGCAAATTTTTTTTTTTCTTCTTCTTCTTCTTCTGAAAGAGAGAGAAACATTGTTTTGATAGAATGGTTGTCTTTCATTGTTTTACCTTTATTTCTAGTTTATTTGCCAATATGGTTTCACCTTAAAGTAGTAAGATGGACTTTTGTGTTAATAATTATGAAGAGTTTTGTTCCATTATAAATAACAAGTTTATATTTGACATGTTATCATTGTTTACTTGCACTCATACTGATTCATCTTATGAAGTTACTAAATCAAAAATTGAAAGTGATCTGTGTCTTCAAGTTAGATGAAACTGTCATCTGAACATTTGTTTGTACAATACTAAATTTGTCTAATGAAGTATTCTTTCAACAGGTTAATGGAGCACCTATGAGTTTATTGATTGTGGCTGTAATAGTTAGTTTAATTTTGGAACATGTTGAAAAAATACCTGTTAAGTTATACAGCACACTACCTGAGATATGGGAGCAGTATGTTGATGATACTTTTATAATGTTAACAGAATCACATATTGTAGGTATCTACTCTCACATGAATAGCACCAATCCAGGTGTTCAGTTTTCAATGGATAAATATACTTTAAAAAGCTTATTTTTTCGTATTAATATTTGTATTACAAATGGTGCCTTGTAGTTATTGTGTTAAACTGTGGATCAAAGAGTTCATGGTTTGTGTTCCATTGTCAATAAAAATAAAAAAAAACACTCCATACCTTGGGCCATGACTGCATTATGAGGGTGATAGTGAAATCCCACCAGTTGATTAGAGTAGCCCAAGAGTTGTTGGTGGGTGCTGTTTACTAGCTGCCTTCTCTCTTATCTATCAGGTAAAAATTATAGATGTCTAGTTCAGATAGACCTTGTATACCTTTGGACAAATATATGAAAAATACAAAAAATAGCCAGTTGGAAACAGAAGTGTATACAGAAAACTCACAATTTCAAATTCATCATCCCCAAACACAAAGCTCCTGTTGTAAAATTTCTCAAAAAAACCTTTTTACACTCTACTTCTCACAAAAAGTAATAGCAAGAATTAGTAAAAGTAACTACAGTAAGATTTGATATACTCAGTCATTTGTAAATAAACTTAAATAATAAAAAAAAATTCTGGTTTCTCAGAGCAAGCTTATAAATAAAATTCATGAAATTTATTGTCAAGCTATTTCTATTTCATTTTAGGAGATTAACCTTTAAAATCTGTGTATGTTTAAGGTGAGTGTAAAAATATTTATACCAAATTAAAAAAATGTTTTAAGAGCTTTCTAATGATTTAAGTAACACCTAGATATTAAACTACACATTTATAAAATTGTTCAATTCTAATTTTCTCATTGTGAAAATATAGTGAGTCTTAATTCTCTAAGTTTGTGACTGTATAACATTACAGTGAGCAGGTTTGAAGAGAATGGTTTGTTTCAGGTTAGGAGGGATTGTAATTAGTGACGTTGTAAACTTGTATCTGTATGTGTTTATTATATATATATGAAAAATAATTTTCAAGTTTTGTAAAACTTCATGGCTTATTGAGTAGTAAATTATTTTAATACTTAAAAAAAATGTCTAGCACATACCTAATAAACGAGATATAACAATATTATTATTGTTTTAAGAAGAACTATAAACAAAAAAGCCAACATGGGTTCACTTAAGGGAAATCCTGTCTTACTAATCTGGTAATTTTTTATGATGTTACTTGGGTCTTTGTTTTTTATTATGTACATTAATGATATTGATAGTGGCATAATTAGTAATCTCTGTTGATGACATTAATCTCTTGAGTATTTTTAGTTGTATTGAAAATTTTTGATGAACTACGGAAAGTCTTGGGTCAGTTGGTATACAACTTAGACAAATACTTGGTAAACAGCTGCTAATTACAGGAAATGCAAAGTAACACATTTGGTCTATCACAATTTAGATCAGATATTTAATGTAGATGGCATAGTGGTAGACTAATCAGAACAGTGTCCTGTTGTTGATAGTAAAGCTAATAGAAGTTTAGGATGCATTTCTAGACATACTGATTAAAAGTCAGAAAAGGTAATTATCTCTTTAAACCAAGAGTTAGGTGTCACTTGGAATAATATATATATATATATATTGTCTCCTTATCTAAGAGAGTTTGACTTGTTGGGAAAGATTCTGAAGATGGAATAGTCTTACAGTGATAAATTAGGATCCTGTAACTTATTTTTCCACGAAAAAAAGAAGGATAAGAAATGATCTTATTGAAGTTTACAAGATTATCCAGGAGAATCAATAGGATAAAGGTCTTTGATTTCTTAGTGCTGTATACTGAAGACAAAAGGATGAGAGGAAATAAGCTTTATACTAAGAAATGACAAATTAAATTAGAATTAAGTTTTATTTTTGTAATGGGGTGATTACCTTATGGCATGAGTTGCCATTTGACGGTAGTAGAGGTTGCCATCTTACAAGAGTTTAAGAGAGAAATTTGCAAAATTAATGGGTGTGTTTAAATTTTTCCCATTTTTTTTTCCTTATGGGTGGGTGTGCAGGGGCAACCTCGAAGAATCAAATGGTCCTTTGTCTTTTTGCATATAAATTATGTTACTTGTCAATAAACAAGCTAAATCATTGAGAAATTCAGCTGCAAATAAAAAATATATATTTAGTATTTTAATTATTTCTTTTGTGCAACTGGAATGTTCAAAAGTTATAAAAAGAAAATAAAAATTTCTAAAGAGAAAACTAGTGATAAACAACATAGGTCCTTTTAAATACCATTGTGAAGCATAGCATTCTGTTACCATTTATTTTTTCATGTTGACAGATGATGACTCTTGGGACATGATTACGTGTTTTTGTATGAAGCCATTTGCTGGAAGGCCCATGATCGAATGTTCTCAATGTCTTACGTGGGTGCACCTGTCCTGTGCCAAAATTCGTCGAAACAACATCCCAGATGAATTCACTTGTTATCATTGCAAGCAGACTACCAACTCTAGGAGGAGGAGGTCACAGAGAGTAAGAGATGAGAGAAGGCTAAGTGCGTAACAACTGTTGTCTTTCCTTGATCTCAACATACTGCCTTGTTTTGTAAATATTGTTGTACAGAGCTCTTACAGCATTCACCACCAGTGTCCCACATCCATAATGGATGAACTCGATAACATTTTATTTTATTAAGTTTAATGAACTCAAGACACCATTGATCACCAGTGTCCCATATCTCCTATAATGGATGAATTTTATAGCATTTTTTTTGTTAAGTTAAATGAACTCTGTGTCCCACGTTTACCATAATGAATGAACTATATAGCATTTTGTTTTAAGTTTGGTGAACTCTATGGACAACATTCACCACCAGTGTCCCACATTTCCTATAATGAACTTCATAGCATTTTGTTTTATTAAGTTTAATGAACTCTGAGGACAATATTCATCACCATTGTCCCACATTTCATATAATGAATAAACTTTATAGCATTTTGTTTTATTAAATTTAATGAACTCTGTGGACAAAATTCACCACCAGTGTTTCATGTTTACTATAATGAGTGAACTTTATAGCATTTTGTTTTATTAAGTTTAATGAACTCTGTGGACAAAATTCACCACTAGTGTTTCATGTTTACTATAATGAATGAACTTTATAGTGTTTTGTTTTATTAAGTTTAATGAACTCTGTGGACAAAATTCACCACCAGTGTTTCATGTTTACTATAATGAATGAACTTTATAGTATTTTGTTTTATTAAGTTTAATGAACTCTGTGGACAACATTCACCATCAGTGTCCCACATTTCCTATAATGAATGAACTTTATAACATTTTGTTTTGTTAAATTAACTGTGGACAACATTCACCACTAGTGTCCCACATTTGCTATAATGAACTTTATAGCATTTCATTTTAAATTTAATGAACTCTATGAAACTGCTAGACATAGATCATTAATTATGAGAGGAAAGATCAGAATGTCATCTGTTGCAGAACTGTAATTGATAGGTGATAGGAATGTCATCTGTTGCAGAACTGTAATTGATAGGTGATAGGAATGTCATCTGTTGTGGAACTGCAGTTGATGGGTTTTGGAATAATTTTCAAATGAACTATTCCAAAACATACCACCAATGGCACTATAGTTATTTCTTGATCACCAGGGTTTCCACTCTTTACCCATCTAAGCATTAAAACTGCTTGCACCAGTCTTTTATACCCCACTCGATTGCCCTTAGCAAATTCTAATTTGCAAAATTCTCCACAAACTTCAATGCATCCTCTATCTAGGTACTGTATATAAGCACCTCATTTAGATAATGTAATCAATCAAAGCATTATTCACAAGTTATGTTGCAACTTTGAACGTGATTGGCAGTAGTATGGTTATATCTTTGTTTATACTTATAAATTACTTGAACAACAACAACAGAAACCAAAAAAAAAAGTATTGAGGGGTATGAATTTCTGAGATAATGGATCAGACTCTTTATCATTCCACATTTGTTCTGCTTTACCCCAATAGGTCTTTTCTTCCAAAGATTCTAGCATCTAGGGAAGGGGAAAGATCCTTCTCACCAATCCATTTCTCACCTTTACGACTGCTCCGATCCTGATCGTTTGATATGTTCTGTTAGGACCCTCAACAGTTATGTGGCTCATACTAACTCATTTCGAGGTAGTAGGAATTGATTGTTCATCCATTAGAATCCTTCTATTTCCTGTGACTTATCTCCCATTACCCTAACAAGATGGCTTCGTAAATTGATTCACATGTCCTATAATGGATTATCGTTGCAGGAGAGGAATCTTTTGTGTGTCACATCACACCAGATTTGTCATATCTCTATATCATTAGCTGCTCGGGTGAATTGCCTTCTGGAATACATTGTGCCAACTGGTATATGAACTACTCCTAATACTTTCCTATCTCCTTACCTACAGTGCTTCCAGAGCACTGTTTCTCAGGACTCCCCAGACTCTACTAGTGTAGCTTGAGAGTTCTTAACACCCCCAGTTTCCAGTTGCTGGGGTGGCTGACAGAGGCTTTTCCTCCAGAGTGTTCAAGTATGTTCCTCCACTCTTGGTAAAGAGGGCAAAGTTGGGGGCCCTCCTACTTGAGTCCCTGGATGTTTTTCCCAGATGTCAGTAGGAGTGGCACCAACCTCTGTGGGAGCCTACTCCCAATTCTGGTTCAGATTTGACACAAAGCTATCTGGTTGGGGTGTGCATGGCCATTTTCTTTGATCAATGTCAGTTTCGTATATTGTTCATGGAAGGAGATACACAGTCTCTTCATAATTCCAAACACAAAGTGGTTCCATCATAGGTCGTTGGTTGAGTACAGGTTCCACGTCCTCTCCATAATTCCAGGGGCAACCAAAATACTCCATGCCCACTTGGTTGGGGAGTGAGGATGAATGTTCATAGTTCCAGACTGGATGAGTTTTGTTACTTTGGTTGAGTACAGCATACAATCCCATCATTCCAAGCCTGGGGTGTTGCCTTTTGGACTTTTTCAGGTGGAGGAGAAAGTTTGTCCACCTTGGTGTTGCTTACTTTCTTGTCTTGATTCCGGTGGTGTGAAATGCATCACTCAATGATTACAGGTTGGGATCCAATCAGAAGTGTGTGTGTGTGTGTGTATATATATATATAATAACATTGTGGTCCAATAGTCCTAGCCACCAATGTGTGCTATAGGTACCACAACCCCTTAAATATAACCCTGAATTGTGGAAACTCAGCTATCTGGTTGAGATGGCCTATTACTGATGATTACTCGTATTCTATTCCACCTTTGGTATAGGAAGTGAGTTCCAGATGAAGAGCATACCTGATGTAGTGCGGTTCTCCTGCTTTTGTACCATTTTTATCTTGGTACACTCCTGTTCTATACAGATGCTTTTTGTATGGTTCATATCTGCACTGGCCCCTCCACCTTCTTAATGTGGGATTCTAGCTATAGTGTTAGTGGAGGTAAGAATGTTTTGGAAGTTAACATTTTCCTAAACTTAAAATGTATTCCCAATAATACACTCTCCCACCCTACCTCCCCACTAAAAGCTGGTTTATGTCTCCAAAAAGTGATTACATTATCTGAATGAGGTGCTTATATACAGTACCTAGATAGAGGGCACATTGAAGTTGATGGAGAATTTTGCAAGGGCATTTGAGTGGGGTATAAAAGACTAGAGCAAGTGTTTTCAATGTTTAGATGGAAACCCTGGAGATTGAGAAATAGTTATAGTGTCAGTGCAAGTAAATATTACTGGAAATACATTTTCAGTTTAGGAGAATATTAACTTACTCAATTGATAAAATTGAAGTAAAAGATATACCACATTCATTTGATATATAAACAAACACTTCAATTGTTTATTAAATGATAAAGTTAGTCATTGTGTATGTGTGCATGTGTTTTTTTATGAACTGCTTAAATAAGTATTTAGAAGGAAGAAAATATATCAAAGCAAACATCAGATATAGACACCTTATCTTTTTGATATCATTCAAAAAAGAGGAGTGGCTTACAGAGAAACTAAGAAGTAGGCACTCAATTTTCTAGGTTAATAGCAATCAGCCCTAGTGAAAGTAACTTGGGCTAGGAACAAACCTTCCATCAGCCATATCAAAATCAGATAAAAACTAGGACATGAAGTGAACTTGATGACCTAGTCTGATTGACTATATGAAAATCAGAGAGGTGTTAGGACATAAAGTGAACTTGAAGATTTAACAGAACAGTCATGGATTAATATTCAGGAAGAGAAAGACACGGCCAGTAGATGGAAATCAGGAAATAGTCATATATTCCAGGTGTATTCAGGCAAACAAAAAAAGGGAAAGGATTCCACAGAACAGGTAATGGGTAGCTAACTTTGAATATTCACCTCTGAGAACATTCATGTTCCCCACAGTCAAGCTTTGAACACTCACAGCTGGGAACATTCATGTACTCCATAGTCAAGCTTCTAGGAGAATGGCCATACCAGTGCATGTATATATGATGATAAAATGTAACTTCTAAACATCTGTCTTCCCTGAACATTCCTGTAGTGCATGACACTGAATGCAATGAGATAAGTACAATGTCTTTAATACTTTGTAACATTGGAAAATTAAAAAACAACAACAAAGAATTATCAAAAATGAGAGCCAGAAATCAAGGATATTTGAAACATTCTTAATACAAGCTAGAATTAGCTGTTGACATCATGTATCAGTTGGGAACCAATTCTATAATACTTAACTTTATTCATCACTTTGTTTCTCTAAAACTACATCTCTGCCTCATAAACAGAATAACTAAAATGACAGATAAGTATCGAACATCCCTGGTGTAACAGCTAAACTTTCCTTTTCTGCTATTTCTATTCACCAGATCAAAAATAGATGCATCATGAAACTCACAAAATTGGCAATGAATGGGATAGATGGGAAGAAGGTGTAATGAAATAGTGAACATTTTAGTTTGTTGAACATATTTTTGAGTGTAAACTAATTAGAACTGTAAATGAATTAAGTAAATACAAAAAAAAAACTATATTAATGCACGAAGATAACTGCTTATAAATGATACATGTGACATGCAAATTTTTGTGAAAAATATATACTTAGAGGGTTAAAAACATTTTAAACAATTTGAAAAATGTTGTAACCTTCCTTATGTATTAGAGATTACTTATGTTTTGCAATATTTTGGAGTTGATATTAACATTTGATTGTTCGATAAAGTTTTCACTCTTTGTCCATCTCGAACATAAGTTTATCACAGTTTGAGATGCAATGGTGTTGTTAAATGGTTCTATAGCTTTTATTTTAAGTTTCCAGTTAGGAGCACTTCATTTTCCTTAATGTTCATTCGTCTGTCGCTGAGTCTTGTTTTGAAGTGAGCTCAAGCCCACTGCCCATATGTCCTAAAAAGTGCCCTTTTTCTCTGTTGTAAAAAGGTTAATAATTACCACACACTTTCCTGTGGGTTAATAGGTAAAATAAAAAAAATAAACTTTTAAAATGAATGGAACACAGGGGCTTGTAGGTCTTTGCAGCAAAAAAACAAACAAAAAACTTGTATGCTATTAAGGGTTAATACATAATAATTCATTGTTTTGTTTTATACTTTAAAAGTACTTATAAGACTGTTGAGTAGGAATGAAATAGGATCTGTTTGCTTCTTATCATATTTTAACCCTATGTGTATCAGAGGCAATCCATAGTCTCTCCTAACACTTCCCGCCTCCAACACACACACACACACTAAAAAAAGGCTCGCCTTATGATACTTTGGAAGTTCCTTTTTTGTCAGTGAGCTCTTACCGTTTTAATATGCTCTGCATGTTGGTGCTTTGTGTTGTAATGTGTTCTTTCACTGAATGTATTCTTTTAAATTGTTCAGTGAAAATAGTACGAAGTCCAATCCACATAATGATAACAAATTAATTTATTTCTTCAGTAACGTTTGCTACAGGCAATGTTCACTTTGACGCAAGTTATAGGCTTAGGTTCCCAAACAAACCTTTAAACTTAAACATTTTGATTTTTTAATACCATAGCGTAGATAATATGTACATTAATTCCAGTTGTAAGTAGATCTAGCCTACAGTAATTAGATTAGGTAATAAAATAAGTATTTTACATCAGTCATGTTTAACGTGTTTTGGGTTTAGCAGTATATGTTGAAAATTTCCAGATTATATTATCTCTAAAATGAATATGGCGAGTGCCATTCTGTCTCCAGCACAGTTCTAGCATGAAGGAGTTGTATAGTAGTATTCTTTAACCTAAATATTTAATATATCAAATTTATATACTCGGGCCGGTGTAAGGCATTTTACCTCCCTGTGCAGGTGCTGTATCCCCTGTCGCGCCTGCCGTGTATATACTAAGGTTTTGGTAAATGAATAGTTTTTCATTGTTAGCGAGAAGCGTGACATCTATCAAACAAAAGTCTAACTTTTTCAGCCTATCATTATTACTTATTAGGTCTAAATTTTAATTTTGGAACATACAGTACTTAGAAATGAAATAGATGTGCAATTTGACTAATTTTTTGAGAGGCAAATTGCACTTGGTGAAAATCCGACAGATTCGTTGAAAGTTTACAAATAAATGTGAACTCCCAGTCCATAATGGGCTTTCTTTTTGAAGATCTTGTAATGCACTTCACACTTTTAACCTTGTATGTTTTGCACTTTATTTTAAGAAGACTGCACTCCTCCATTTTTTTCTATTGAAAATGCGAAAAACACGCAAAATTTTACAAAAAAGTGAACAAAATCTCTGCGAGGATTTTGAGTAGCGTTCATTCTCCAGGAAAATTGTTATAAGACAAGGAAAGTGAGAAAGTGTAAATGTTGAATCGAGAAACTTGGTAGAAATGGCAAAGCAATTGCGTCACTTCTTGTTCAAAGCACCCTATTTCACAGTAGAGACGTAGTTAAGATTTCTACTGTCTGAATTTGGTACATTTAATGCATTAAATTTAATAATAATCCTGAATTTTTTCTTCTACGGAAAACTATTTACGCCAAGATGTAAGAAATATCCTAAAAATATTTTAACAGGCCTATCACAGGTCAGTGGGGGACATTTTTGTTGAAAAAAAACTACCCAATCCGGTTATTCTTAACCTAAACTAAAATTTTCTGGACATTTTTTATTGGCTAAAAAGAAGGCATTTACCGGACTCTTTTTAGCGTTGGGGCTGCGAAAAGGTGACATGCAGAGGTATTCAGGAACGGTTTAGAACCACCTTGGTAAATATTGTGCAGCAAGCCCAGTACAATATTATGCCTGTAGCTGCTTTCAAAGTGTTCCTGTCTGCTCATCCTACTGGATACAATCTTAGTATGAAGATAGGATGCCGTATTTCACTTAAAATTTATCAGTTAACAAACTAAAACTTGTCTCGAAATTTTGATTGGCTCACAAAGGAATTTACTGACGTTTGACTGCCACGACTACACTTTTCCGCCTCTTTGTTGGTGAAGCTTGATTTCAAAAAATGTATTCAATTCAGTTAGCTATGAAATGTGAGGTTAAGGTATACTATGGGGTGGGGGTGGTAGTACTTGCTCCGCCATTTTTGACGGGCTATACGTTAGTTTTTTTTTAATAAAATTAAGTTTAAACAAAGAGGTGTGAAAACAATTTTTTTTTCGGGTGTTAGCAATGTGAAAAACAAACAAATATGGGGGAATAATACTAACTGGATGATACCCACTGACTAAGACAAAAAAAAATTCCCATAAGAGGATATTTCTTTTTTTTTTAACTTCGTAGTCATTATTATTATCATCTAGAGGCTATAACAGTAAATAACAACTGAAACCCCAGTAAAAGATACTTATTATAACTGAAATGTACTTTATATATATATATATACTAGCTGGAGTACCAGTACCCTGGACGGAAGTTATGTAAATTCACGATTAATGAAAGGTTATCTTAGGACAAGAAAAGTTGCTTCCTCTATGTGTAATTGTAAAAATCGCCCATAAAAACTGCAAAACACAAAATGTGAAACCGCAAGATTGCATACACCTAACAAATTTTCTTGCCCAATTTCGTGAAGATCCATCAACAGGGGTCGAACTAGTGGTAAAAAACGCCCATACAAACCGCAAAATACGCAAAAGTCCACGTAAAGATGATAAATTAGTTTACTTATTTAACGTTTGCTACTAATAGTGTCATCAGTATCACTTGTATACTGTTGTAACTTGTTGGCCTAAGTTCACAATGACGTTGAAATGGAAATAGCTTACTAATTATACGTAAAAGTTAACTTAATTGTACAAATTCATGGCGAATCATCGATTAACTGAACAGACATCGATTTAAACTAAATACTTCACTGTACCAACTGAAAAAACAAAACAAATTGACTCTTACTGTTAGCTTTTATTGACTGGTTCATATTAGTTCTAAATAATCGTAGAAGTCGCTAGATTTTTATTACGTCACTTGTAATGTTCTAGATATTCAAGGCTTACTTTTGTAAACTAAATGTCATCTGCCCTCTAGCTGACATCTAATTTATCGCATTGAAAATATAGCTTACAATGGCATTTTTTTTTATAGTATTCAATATATGCATAATATAATTTTGTACTGGATAGTTGATTTATTTTTTTACTTTCCTAAGAAAATTAACTAGGCTGGTAAGATTTGACTATCATTCTTATGTGATATCCAGGCATATCATGCTTTATCTACCTCTTAATTTTAAATTAGAAATTTTCAAATTGTTTCGTATTGAGTCTATGCAGTTTTCGCATTACGCACGATCCTGAAAATCGTTGATTTTATTCTAGCTGTCTTTGTCATTCTCTGAAGATAATGTCTGCTCTGTTAGTGGAGAATATTGCTGTACATTGTACAAATATGTAAACAACAGTATTATTCTTCAATGGTAGGGTAGATGATAACTTAATGATACAGCATCTGTCACGTTGGTGGCACCAGTCCCCATTGTTATATCCGACGTTTTAAATTAAGAAAAATAAGAAACATTATATTTAAATCTATACAGGATCTCGAGTGATTTGGTTCATGGAAAGACATCTCGAGGGAAGAAAATCAGTTAATCGATTCATAAGTCCAATGAGAGGCGATTGTACGGTGTCCAATGCAAGTATGCACACTGTGTTTTTGTAAATAAATAAATATTATTTCCATTTTGTATCACATATCTGTCCCGTCTCTTTATTTCTTAGCTTAAACTCAGTCACTTTAGATAAATTCAGTGTTGAAATGAGTTTAACCAGCGAATACTGTATTTATAACTCGCCCATGGCCCGTAGCGTGGACAGCTATTTTGCAGCAGCGAGACACGAACCATGAACCCCCAGATTCACATTCTGGCACGCTAACCACTAGGCACACCCGGATTAACATGTTGCAACCTCTAATTAATCATTTCTTACATTCATTATCACTAAATATCCATTGTTTGAAAATGTATACCAGCTTTATAAAACTACTGAATGAAAAAGTACCAAGTGTTCACAAAACTTCATGTATTCTACATTTTCGCTCGGTTTGTATTTTTTCAATATTGAAAACAGGTTACAAATAACGTAATTAAAGCTCATCAAGTATTTAAGCTTCGAAGGCGCGAAAACTTTTAAAGGAGAATTAAGTTAGAAGGAATAGTGTTGTAAGCTATATTTTAAATGTTTTAACTTAAACGTTTGCTAAAGAACTTATGATGTTATGATCAAGAAATTTTTTGGATTATTTAGAAACAAGGATACGATATAAATACGAGAATCAGTAAAGTAACTGATGATTGTGGAGTATTCAAGAAGCGAGTTAATGAGTGCTTCAGTTCTGTGTTAGCAGAGGGTCGCGGGTTCGAATACCCGTCCCACCAAACATGCTCGCCCTTTCAGCCGTGGGGCATTATCATGTGACGGTCAATTCTACTTCGTGCAAAATAATAGCCAAAGATTTGGTGGGTGGTGATGACTAGGTGTCTTGCCTCTACTAAATTAGGGACGGCTAGCGCAGATAGCCCTCGTGTAGCTTTGCGCGAAATTCAAAACCAACCAAACAAATCAAACTGTAACTCGTGTATTTGTGAGTTAGTTTGTAAACTTGGACTACAACTTGTGCCAAAGTGATTGTAGTCTATAGCAAGCATTATATAAATAAGAAATTAATTCGCCATCGTTACATGAACTGGACTTGACATTACTTTTCCAAAATAATCTAAAATAACCGGCCCAGCGATAGAATACATTATAACAAAAGTGTTTAGTTAGCACAAAGCCTTCATGTGTGCGAAATTCGACACGCTTTCTTTTAACACTAGAATACACCTACAGAAAAGAAACTTGCAATATTTCCGAATATTAGAAGCTGCTTTATTTCTTTCCCTCTAGCGGCTGCACGGTAAGTCTGAAGTCTTATAATGCAAAAAAGTCGGGTGTGTAGCTTTGCGCTAAAAGTCATACGAACAAGCCCCCCAGTGGCACAGCGGTATGTCTGCGGACTTATACGCTAGAAACCGGATTTCGATACCCGTGGTGGGCAGAGCACAGGTAGCCCATTGTGTAGTTTTGTGCTTAACTTCGAACAAAGCACACGTTGGTCATATATTACTAATATATATGAATGTGGTTTAAAGTATGAACTACAAAAACAGAAGTGTTAAAGCTAGTTTTAAAAAAAATTCCATTAACCTTTGGGAAAAAAAAAGCTTATCTTGTGAAAAGACTCGTTTTTTCCGTTCTTCTGCGTGTTTTCCAGGCATTTTGAATTTTAAATATATATTTATCAATGCATAAAACAAAAATAAAATAATGAAACTTTATATCAATGAAATAATTGTTTATTATTGCGAACTTTTATTGATTAAATTTCAATTATATATAAAAAAAAATTATTTAATTTTGTACGCGGCTACGTTTTTGTTTATTTCTCAATTTGATTGTAGCGCCATCTAGTTGGTAAATAATAACAAGCAAGCTCACGGCCCTTTGAATCCTCTTAATGTAATAGTTTGTGGTGTTCGTGCGGAGTTGTGTAACGTAAGTTTGAGGAACCGTGGAAGTAAAAATTGTCTTCTATGTCTAGGTAATGAGTTATCACAAGCACCGTTCATTTATTTTTATGATAAATATATTCTGTGAAAATAATCATTCAAAATACTGTTTGTCACATAAAAAAAATTGAATATTTGGATCCTGAGGAACTTATGTGAGGATTTTGTTTTCAAACAAAATGAAAGAAAAGCAAGGTAAGAAACGTTCGACAACTACTGAACTAGCGCCTAGGTGTAGTAGTAATTAGTAATACTACTAGTATTCGTTAATACTAGTAATAATATTAGTATTAATGATAATACTAACTTAGGAGTATAGTATTATTAGTGTAATAACTAGTATGTAGCAAATAGTATGCTATATTAGTCGTAGTACAATTATTTTACTACTGGCACAAGTGTGGAACAGATATGTCACTGTGAGTGTGAGTTGTACTTGTAAATAGGACTTTGGACCCGGCTCGGACTCATTCACACAACTTGCTCAAGTCTTACTCTTAGGTTTAGTTGTTAAGTATTTAATATAATTATATATGTATATATATAAGAGCAACACACAGTGGTACGTATATTTTGAAATATAATAATATATATAT